CGCACGTCGTGTGCCTCCGCATCATCTGGCGCTCACTTCCACTGTCTCATCACGGCTCCCTCTCTCTCTCTCTCTCGCTCTCTCTCTCTCTCTCTCTGGCTCATACTCATTATCCACCTGTGTCTACTCTTTTGTCTTTTTTTTCTCTCTCTCTCTCTCTCTCTCTCTCTCTCTCTACACACACGTATATATCTAGATAAATACATATACATACCTGTATCTGTATACACACAATGCACACGAACATGTACTAAGACCGTCGCGCGCGCTTCGCGTGCCCAGGTTCTCAGAAATCCCATCTCGCAGTGAGATGTCGACGGTTGGGCGACGGTTGCAGGTAGGACTCTAGTCCGTAAGCGCGACGGAAACACGTAGTAAACAACCCTTCCCTGAGCACGGAGGTCTCCAAGAGGACGACGAAGATGACGAGGGGGGCGGTCTCGAGGTCGAAAAGGGGGGAAGAGTCCAGGAGCATCACGGCGACGAAGCCGAGGGCAGAACGGCAAGGAGGGACAGGAATAGAAGGAAAAGCGGAGCCTCTGAAGACGAATAGCAAAAAAAACAAGACAAAGAGGAGGGGCCTGCACCTCCTGGTGGCCTTCGGCCCATCCTGCCACCGTGCCTGGGATGTTGGTCAGAGACCTTTTGGGTGCCTGTCGGGTCTTTCGGAAAGTCTCTGGGCAACTTCTTGAAGGCAGTGTTGAAGCTCCTTGCGGGCAGTTTGGGGGCCTCTTCGGGGCCTCCCTTGGGTCTCTTGAGGGCCTCTAGGGTCCTCTTGGGAAGGTTATTGGGGTCCTGCGGGCGGTCTCCTGGGTCCTCTCGGGCTGGAGGCCTCGAAATGTGAGGACAGACAGGGGCCACCGTGCCCCTCGTCCACGTGTGCCTGTCACTCCTGGTGGCCTTCTGCCCATCCTGACACCGTGCCTGGGTTGTTCGTGTGAGACCTCTTGAATGCCTGTTCGGGTCCTGGGGGAGCCTCTGGGGAGCCTCCTGGAGACAGTTTTGAGGCCTCGTGGAGCGCCTTTCGGGGCTTCTTTTGGACCTCTTCTGGGCCTCCTGGGTCCTGTGGGGGAGTCCTTGGGGTCCTGCTGGCGGTATTCGGGGTCCTCTGAGGGCCGGGGCCTCGACATGTGGGTTTGCATTCCCTCCCTGGGACCCCTCTTAGGGCCCTCTGGGGGCCGTCTTGAGCAGTCATGGGTGCCTCTCGGGCCGTCTTGGGGCTGTCTTGGGGCCCTCTGGGGGACCTCTTGGGCCGTTTGGGGACTCTCCTGCGGGCCTCTGGGGCCGTCTTGGACGCTGGGTACATGAAAATAGCGAATGTGCTAGGAATCGGTTTTCCTGCAAAAATGGAGCGATTTTTGCTTCGTCGGGCCTTCGTGAGGGTCCTCTTGGACTCGTCTTGGGGCGGTTTGGGGGCCTCTCAGGCCGTCCGGAAGCCACGTTGGCCCGTCTGGGAGAAGCATTTAGCAATGCACTCAGTGTGCGCACCGCGCCGCCAAGGGCGAATTCGCACGCGAATTGCGAGGAAATCGCGGGCGAATTGGGCTAACCTACCCGGAAGCTCCGGGGGGGTCAGGGAAGCTCCAGGACGGCTCCAGGGAGGCCCTGGGGAGGCCCAGGGAAGGGGAAGCGGGGACTTAGTGTATGTCAGGTGCCCCTGCAGCTGCTGCGTCCCAGGGGGCCACGGGGCCGAGTTTCCCGTATATGAGACATGTATTTATGTCTCGCTGTGTCCGCCTGACTGCGTCTGCCTTTGTCGCTCTCTGTGCCTTTCTCTTTGCCAACTCTGCCCCTGCACCTGTCCATGCCGCAGTGGGCGCCTCCGGCTGATCCTCTCTCGCCCTCTCTCTCTCTCTCTCTCTCTATCTCGCGGTCGATCTGTTTCTTCGAAAGCGTGTCTCAATAGTTTCCTCTGCGTTGCGGGGGTCCTCCCCGCTTCCCTTACCGAGCTCTGCCGTGCACCGCAACAGCCGTCGCGCAGTCGATTGCCCCCCGCTCGGAGCGAAACCCGCTACCCGCGTCGGCGGTCTGCCCGCGCGCTGGATCGCCCCTCACGCGCCGCCGCGAGGCGACGCTGCTGTCGCTCGCGAGCACCTCCATCTCCCCCTCCTCCGCCCTCCCCCCTCCTCGTCGAACAAGCGCCAGCTCGAGCTTGCTCATCCTCCTCCTCTTCCTCCTCCTCCTCCTGCTATCATTCCTCCTCCTCCTCCTCCTCCTCGGCCTCCGCCTCCGCCTCCGCCTCCGCCTCCACCTCCGCCTCCGCCTCCGCCTTCTCCTCCTCCTCCTCCTCCTCCTCCTCCTCCTCCTCTTCTTTTACTTCTTATTATTATTATTATTATTATTCGCGTGATCAGTACGATTAACAGTATGATTCGCTTTAGTAGTATGCGTCTTCGGATTGTTCGTAGTAGTAGTAGTAGTAGTAGTAGTAGTAGTAGTAGTAGTAGTAGTAGTAGTAGTAGTAGTAGTAGTAGTAGTAGTAGTAGCAGTAGTAGCAGTAGCAGTAGCAGTAGCAGTAGCAGTAGCAGTAGCAGTAGTAGTAGTAGTAGTATTGTGATTCCTCTGTGTATTATCATCCGTATTATTATGCGTGTTCGTATTAGTGTATTTCGTCTGTGTCTTCTTGTTCGTCTTCTTAGTCTTATAAGTAATCGTATGATTCGTCTGTTTCGTCTTGTTCTTCTTTCTCATCCTCCTCCTTCGTCTCCTCCTCCTTCTCCTCCTCCTCATCCTCCCCCTCTTCCCTACCTTCCTCCTCCTCCTCTTCGTCCCCCATCCTCCTCCTCCTCCTCCTCCTCCTCCTCCTCCTCCTCTCCTCTTCCTCCTCCTCCTCCTCGTCTTCTTCTTCTTCGTCCTCCTCCTTCTTCTCCTCCTCCTCGTCCGCCCTCCCCCCCTCCTCGTCGAACAAGCGCCAGCTCGAGCTTGCTCCTCCTGGGAGCTCGGGAGCTGCGCGCCAGGGCGCCCGCCGCGCCGCCCAGCTCTCCCCGCGAGCGCCTCGCCTCCTGCCCCCCCCCCCCATCTGTCTGCTCCTCTCCTCCTCCTCCTCCTCCTCCTCCTCCTCCCTCCTCCTCCTCCTCCTCCTCTCCTCCTCCTCCTCCTCCTCCTCCTCCTCCTCCTCCAGAGGGCGGGCGCCCCAGAGGGGCGCTCGCAAATCATGGCCAGAGGCGTGCGCGCGGGCGAGGGGGGGGGGGGCCGGGCCGCGGGCCAGGGGACGTAGCTGGAAGGAAAAGAGGGGGGCCACGAAACCCGGGGAGATGTCACGGCCTCGGCCATGACATCCCCCCCCCAATCCTGACGAGCCTCCCTAGACGACCCGGAAGCCCTTAGCATAGGGGAAGCGGGTCCCGAGGGAACCGGGTCCTGGACCCCAGGGCCTTCACCCAGGACGAGAACCTCATCCGGAGTCGGTTTCTGGCCCCGAGGCCCCGAAGACGGCGAAACACCCCAGGACCCGTTTGCCTCGGAACCCGCTTGCCCCCTGGCGAGTCCCATCGGCTATACGCAGGAGTGACCCTTGGTAAGAGTGACCTTTGGTGCGCGGCTCCACGGGGGACGCGGAGTGGCCAAACCCAGGCGCGCAAGCCGCTGCTACAGCTTCGCGCTCAGTGATCGGGGCACCCCATTGGGCCCGCCCCAAAGGTCACTCCGGCGAAAGGTCGCTCTTACGTCTATAGGGGCCTCCTAGATGGGGTCCGGGTAGATGGGGCCGGAGGATCGTGTCGCATCGCCGATGCATCGCCGATGCTTCGGCGATGCATCTGCGATGCATCGACGACGTCGGCGATGCATCAGCGACCTTAGCGTGGGAAAACACGAGCTCCACATCGAGCCGCATCGTCGATGCATCGTCCCACGCCCCGTCTCCCCGCGGCCGGCCCGCGCCATGGAGGCCACACCGCGGGCCCACAGGGCGCGGCAGGCCTCCCAGGTCGTGCGGGCCCCACGAACACGCACCACCACCACCACGTCGATCCCTCCTCCCTCCTCTGCCTATTCCTCATCTCCTCCCTGGGCGAGGGAGGGGGTGAGGGAGGTGGTGGTGGTGCACATCTGTGGGCCCCGCAGGTCGGCCACGGCCAGGCGCGAGCAGAGCACCGCCGTGCTCGGAGGCCCGCGCCGCCGCGGCGAGGCTCGAGGCTGCGGGCGGCGGCCCGAGCCGCCATGGCTGCTGCCGACCCGCGCACACGGCAGGGACAGCCAGGCATCACAGCGGGGCATCGGACCGAATCGGCACGTGCATCGAGTCGGACCGCGCCGGCTCGGGACCGGGATCGAACCGAATCGGCTGCGCCAGGCTGCAGAGCAGCGCCACGCAAGCACCGGGCCGCATATCGGATCGCCCGACAAAAATCGGGATCGGCGCGAATCGGGCCGGCTGGAGCCGATGTCGAACAGGATCGATCGGATCGAAATGGACCTTGCACGGGGCTTGCACGGCAGGCACTACCTGGGTTCCACCCCGACACGAAGCCAGGACAGAGCGCGCGCAGAGGAGTCGAGGAGGTCCAGAACATCCACGACCAGGGCAAGTACGCCTGAGAGGCCAGGCTGCCGAGGGCCGAGCTCGTCCAAACTCCTTCGTCTCCTGCGCCATCTGTGCCGGCGCGCTCGCTGGGACCTGACTCCTCTCTGTAGACGCTGTTGCGGCCGTGCTAGGCCAACTACTCCCACGCGGGGCCGGGCGCACGCAATCAGCTTCGCCTGCTGCTTCTGTAGTCGCGTCTGCGAGGGCCATCACTACGACTTCCGCCTCGGTTGTTGCACATTCGTTCGCAGTCTCTCAAGCACCGCCTACACCGTGGCATGGCGGCCACTACTTACGCGGGACGAAAGGTTTCCCTCTTGAGGCAAGAACGGTGATGATGAGTTCGACAGGTAACACCGGTTCCACCGAACGGACGGCGTCTGGGCGAGTTGCGTGCAGCTCGTCCAGAAGAGAGACGCATTCATGTTGAGTCGGGCCCCCGCGCGCGGAAAGCTGATGGGAGTGCGCGAGACAACACAGGACCAATCCTGGGACGTCGATGACCGAACCCCCTTCCCCCGTAATGTATTTAAAACGGGGTAGGAATCGGATCCGCCGTCGAAAATGAGGCCAGACGCGGATCTGGACAATCCGAAATCGGATCCGAGCGGACGAAATCGGATACATCGAAACATAAACCCAAACCACAAATTAAATCCGCGCGAATTTCATGGGATCCGACGGCGGTTATCTCATTCGCGTCTGCTCAAGACTTCAAACCGTCGTCCTGGGCCCAAGAGGAAAAAATGCGATGGGGATGTAGGGCCCCAGCAGACAGGAAGGCAGGCAGGCTCACCAGGCTAGCTACCTGGCAGTACATACCTCAATAGGTCCGTACCCCCACGCCATCCGGACGGAGCCGACGAAGTGAAGCAGCTGAGCTAGCCAGTCGTTGCCAGCCTTTGCAGGTCCACCCACAGACACACACACACACACACACAAGCCAGACGCCAGTTCCAACCAGTGCTGCCCCACTGGCGAAAGAGCATTAGAGCATTACAACACCGACGCCGCTGACAACATGGATGTCGACGCTTGCGCATCGCTTTAACTGTATGGCGTTCGCTGATGTTCGCGCCATGGGCTAGGCCCACGGTTGCCAAACGCAACCCACGGACAGCAATACGAGCAGCTCGCACAATCGTGTTGTCATGCCAGCGCCAGATACAGATCTCGCCCCATGGCTACATCAGTAGCAGCAACGCATGCCAATGTTCTCCTTATCCGCCAAAGTGCACTGAGGCACGAGTTGGAATGTCCTCAGGGCCATTGGAGCTCTCCGCCCTCAGTCCTGAATGAATGAGTTGCCGGATTTCTCGGGGCGTCTCGCAGCCTTTCGCATAGCTTTCCAGAACCAAAAGGACCCTAGAGCTAGCCAAGAGACATCAAGAGGCCCCTACGCCAAGAGGGCGTCGAGTCGCGAATAGATCGCTCCAAGGCGCCCAAGCTTTCCTCCAGGGAGCCCAAGGAGGCCCCCTAGACGCCCCAAGAGGGCTCCAAGAGGCCCCCTGAGAAAGACCACGAGAGGACAAAATCCTTGATTTGACGTCAGTTCTTATGCATATATCATGTGCTCGCATGTTCTAACATTCGACGCTCCACGACAGCCCACGATGCTCCCAAGAGGGCCCCAAGAGAGCACAAGAGGGCCCCAAGATGGCCCAAGAGGCTCCCAAGGCGGCCCAAGAGGGCCCCAAAGGGGGCCCAAGAGAGGCCCCAGAGGGGGCGAACCGACATTTAGGGAGTACTCCACTCCGAGAAAACAGCCAAGACCGCCGAGAAGCCCCACAGAAGCTCCAGGAGGCCCTCAAGAGGGCCAACTCAGGCCCCGAGCAGCCTCGAGGAGACTCCCAAGACGCCCCGAAACCGCCTCCCAGAGTGAACACTCGGCTCCCGATAAGCCTCCCAAGAGATCCCCACGGGCATCCAGAAGACATCTGACCTACAACCTAGGCACGGTGGCGGATCGGGCCGAAGGCGACTGGACGTTGCCCGTTTGGTTCGCCTCCTCTCCTCGGACTGCTGTGACGCACTGCCTGGAGCCTGCCCCTCCTCCGCTCGTCGCGTCTTGCCCGCCAGCCTCCCGTCGACGGCTTGCCATTCCTGGTAGCAGGCGCCCGCATTCGCCTTGAGAGGGTCAGGCAACGTCTTCTACCGGTGCCCGAAACTATATCTCAAAGACGGCCTCAGGGCCCCGATCCTCAGTGGTGCCATCATCCATGAGATAAGCGTGACCGCCCAGGTCAAACAAGCCTGGCCCACATGGTAACACCCTGTCAAGACTCGTCAAGACCTTCCCTACTGAGCACGTCAGCCAGCGAAAGCGTCAACGGAGCAACTTTACCATGAAGTTGTGTGATTGCCTCCTTGTAGGTATCCTCCTGCTTGGTGATCTCTTCGGGGATCGATGATACGACCGCGTTCTGCTCCTCGACGGCATGTGCAGCGTCGCCAAAGTGGTCCGCCCAGGCCTGCAACTCATGATCGAGCTTATGGATGGTTCGGTGGGCCTGGTCAGCTTCGACCTGTGGCGCCACCACCGGGCGATTCTTTGCAACCAGTATAATATGGCAATAGTCTGCCATGTTCTGGCTCTTGCACTTGACGGCCAAGACGATGAGCTGCTCAACTCCTGATCCTAAGAATTCTGAGACTGTACCCCTTCCGCCTGCAAGCCACCGACTGGATGCACAGGCGCCATAGGCTGAGAACCAAGGCCAGGAGGAGCATCAAAACGTCCTGGACCATCACGGCCCGTCCGCCGTTGTGCCAAGTACGTTATGCTCGCATGTCTGCCAATGACATCCGCAATGTTTGCAGAACTGTTTGTGCATCGCTCTCGTGTTGCATCCACACTTCTCAGAACGCCATGTTTGAGGCTGAGGGCTGGCTTGTCAAGGTGCCATACTCTGACGTACAGTGAAGGGTGAAAGGGCTCTGTCTTGCCATCGTGCTCCCCCCCATCAAGGCTCACGGCTAGTGGCACTGACCCATCCTGAGAATCCCTCTCGTCCTGCTCCTCTTCGTCGTCCTCCTCTTTCTGTTTTCCGTGTCATCGTAAACCTTCTAATTCCCTCCTCGTTTACCCCTCCTCCTCCTCCTCCTCCTCCTCCTCCTTCTCCTCCTCCACATCTTCCTCCTCTACGAACCCCCTCCTCATCCTCTTTCGTATAAATCCTCCGCCGCCACTCTCGTATCGTCCGCCACGTCCTCATCCTTCACGTCCTCTTCGTCATCAAATGTGTATTACTCCTCCTCCTCCACCTCCTCCTCCTCCTCGTCCTCCTCGTCCTCCTCCTCCTTCTCGCCCTGGTTCTCCTCCTCGTCCTCCTCCTCGTCCTCGGCGTCCTCCAACCCCCTCCTCCTCGTTTTCTCTGCCGGGCTCTGGGAACCCCTCGGCACCCGGGAAACTGGAAGCTAGAGACCTCGGACAGGCCCTCGCTGTACCAGCGGAGCGCGGCCATGTAGTTCCCCATTGTCCTGAGCGAGAACAGCTCCTCCACCTCCTCCATCCTCGTCTTATCCTCCGAGCACACCCAGCAGCATGCCTGCCTCCGACGACGACCTCGTCTTCCTGATCCTCCTCGTCATCCTTCTCCTTCTCAACCTCTCTCCTTCCCCTCGCCATCACCATCACCATCATCGCACAACCATCACCATCGCCATTATCATCACAGTCCTCCTCCTCCTCCTCCTCCTCCTCCTCCTCCTCCTCCTCCTCCTCGTCCCACTCCTCGTCCTCCTCCTCATCCGCCTCCTCTTCCTCCTCCTCCTCATCCTCCTATCGTCATCATCATCATCATCATCATCATCATCATCATCATCATCATCATCAGCATCATCATCACCACCACCACCACCACCACCACCTCCACCATCATCATCATCATCATCATCATCATCACCATCATCAGCAGCATCAGCATCAGCATCAGCATCATCAGCATCGTCATCAGCAGCATCAGCATCATTATCAGCATCGGCATCATCATCATCACCGTCATCAGCAACAACATCATCAGCATCAACAGCATCATCAGCAGCAGCATCAGCAGCATCATCATCAGCATCGTCATCATCAGCAACAGCATCGACATCATCATAATCAGCATCAGCATCATCATCATCATCAGCAGCATCATCAGCAGCATCAACAGCAGCATCACCATCATCATCAGCAGCATCAGCAGCATCAGCATCATCAGCATCATCGTCAATAGCGTCACCATCAGTATCCTCATCAGTATCCACATCAACATCAGCAGCATCATCATCGTCATCAGCAGCATCATCATCAGCATCGTCATCATCATCAGTGTCAGCATCATCATCAGCAGCAGCATCATCAGCATCAGCACCATCGTCAGCAGCATCATCAGCAGCAGCATCAACAACAGCAGCAACAGCAGCAGCATCAGCATCATCATCATCAGCATTAGCCGCATCAGCATCAGCATCATAACCAGCATCAGTATCATCATCAGCATCAACATCGCCATCAACACCATCAGCATCATCACCAACACCATCATCAGCATCATCATCAGCATCACCATCATCAGCATCATCATCACCATCATCAGCAGCAGCAGCAGAAACACCATCGCCAGCAGAGACAGCAGCATCATCAGCATCATCAACATCAGCATCATCGTCATCAGCACTATCCACATCACCACGCGGCGAGGAAACGTCGGATTGGGGTCAGAGCCCAGTACCCCCAAACAGCGTTTTGTGAGCCAAGGCGGCTCCTGAGTGTTCGCGCGCCCTCATGCCCCTGGTTCGCCAGCGCCTTCGGCGACGTCGACGAGCTGTCCCTCACCGCCGTCGACCTACATCGTCGTCGTCCTCCTCCTCATCCTCCTCCTCCTCCTCCTCCTCCTCCTCCTCCTCCTCCTCCTCCTCCTACTCGTCCTCCTCCTCGTCCTCCTCCTCCTCCTCCTCCTCGTCCTCCTCCTCCTCCCTCTCCTCCCCCTCCACATCCACTTCATCATCCGTCTCGCCCTCGCCCTGCCCCCATTCCACAACACCTCCCCCCTCTCCTCCTCATCCCCACCCCCTCTTCCTCCAGCTCCGTCTCCTCCTGCTCCTCCTCCTCCTCCTCCTCCTCCTCCTCCTCCTCCTCCGCCTCCTCCTCCTCCGCATCCTCCTCCTCCTCCGCCTCCTCCTCCTCCTCCTCGTCATCATCATGAGCATCAGCATAAATATCATCATCGTCATCATCATCATCATCATCATCAGCAGCATCAGCATCAGCATCAGCATCAGCATAATCATCATCATCATCAGCATCATCAGCATCATCATCGTCAGCATCATCATCAGCATCATCAGCATCATCGTCAACATCGCCATCGTTATCACAATCATCCTCATCATCATCATCATCATCATCATCATCATCATCATCATCATCATCATCATCATCAGCATCATCATCATCATCAGCATCATCATCATCATCAGCAGCATCATCAGCAGCATCAACAGCAGCATCACCATCATCATCAGCAGCATCAGCAGCATCAGCATCATCAGCATCATCGTCAATAGCGTCAACATCAGTATCCTCATCAGTATCCACATCAACATCAGCAGCATCATCATCGTCATCAGCAGCATCATCATCAACATCGTCATCATCATCATCATCATCATCATCATCATCAGCATCATCATCATCATCATCATCATCATCATCATCATCATCATCATCATCATCATCATCGTCATCA